TTTATATGTGAATATATACACATACAGTTGCACACTCAAACACTGAAAATAAGGGATTTAAGGCTTTTTCTAAGTCCCTGCTTTAGAAGATATGCCCTCAGGGAAGAAAGAAGGTACCTGATGCCCACAGCGTTACGTGGGTTCTCTTCTGTTAAGCTGGTATCAAGTGCGGACTCTGTGGGACCAATTGTATTAGTTTAGGCTAATTCTGCTATAGCAACGTCTTGAGCACTGCTGGTGAAACCTAAGAAGATTAAATGCCACATAATCTGGGGATTTTTATGTAAGTGAAGTTCAAATTACCATAAGCTCTTCAAATCATTGATCTGAGGATTAGTAAGAAGGGAAGAATAACTCAAACTAGCTCAAGTCGCAAATCTTTGGGTCCTTCCCCTCCCCCCGCCCCCAGTAAAACCCTTTAAAGATGCTTTGGAATAAGAAAGTTGTTCTACCTTCTTAAGGGAAAGAAGCTTTGAAAGAAGCTGCACAATTGTGTCTCTTCCTCAGTTAACATGCAGTTGCATTGGATTTATGGAGGCTGTTAAAATGCTAAAAGTCAGTGATTGATTATTTTAATGCTATCTCACTATTTCAATAAAGATTGCTTTTGAAATAGAACTCTGTCTTAATGGCACTACCAGTTTGCTAAATGTGGATATTGTAGCTTCTGATTTTTGTATCCATTAGAAATGAGGAAATATATTCATGGTGTTCAGTGGATATGACCAGATAAAAAGGAAACAAGCCAGTAGGCCCAAAGTACCATCAAGTTGTACAGGTTTTCACCCTACTTACAAATTTACAAATTTGTAACATATTTTCTGTGGATTTTCAGACCTTATGATGACAGTAATTCTACTGACTTTAAGCTTGCTTTTCTCTGTTGTCATTTGTGGTCCCCTTAGATGTAACATGCAGCTGTACAGTATTCCACAGGCTTTAGGCTGATACCACTTGAGCAACTTGAATGACCCTGTTTCCCTATGACATTGATCTAGAGGACTGGGCAGAGTTTTAAGTATGCCATCTGTCAGACTTTGTCTGATCTTCATCAAACAGAACATGAGAACCACTTGTTATCTGGGAAGTGAAGTCTGTAATACCTGGGAGAAAATTAAGAGCAGCTTCCAACCATTCTTCTCAGCTGTGATTTGCCACTGCATCCACAGTTCATCTCAGACCTTTTGAAACAGGCTGGCTCTTCTCTTGCCTAGGAGCCTGGCTGGGTTTCACATCTCAAGCTCGGAGCTTCACGGCTCCATAGCCATGCTCAGAGATTTGAGGTGACATCTACATGGGATGGTTCTTTAGTGTGCATCTGCACCACTGGCATCCTCCAGAATGGAGCAGTCCCATGCAATTTGCCTGTACTGACAACCAAACCATGCCAGGGAATTGCTTGAAAGAGTAATAGCTGCGTTACTTGACTAAATGAGTCAAGCCATTTCAGAAGTGCTTTAACACTGACTGAGTTCCAGTGCCCAGGAACATTTTCAGGTATGGTTTTATTAAAGTAGGGACATAGCCTAAGTGTGTGTGTGTGTGTCAGGCAAATTTAGAGGTCAGACAGGAGCCATATATTTAAAAGTGACCAAATTACTTTTCTGAAATATTTTATGTTGACAATATTATAGAATTAATATTGTCATTTAAATGAAATACATTGTCTTTAGTCATTAAAATAGACCTTTCGAGGCTTTTTATCCACAGTTTCAGAAGTTTGTCATAGATAATATTTGCCTGTGAAAAGTTTTTATTACAATAAACACATCTTTGGAAGGTGGAGAGGGCCGGCCATCTATAAGGAGTTCCTGCACTACCAGTGAAAGAACCAGCCCCTTCTCCAATTTCAGAGGCTAAGGGGTGCTTTATTAGTAAGGGAAACTTCTAATTTTAGTAAGAACTTTTTTTTTTTCCTTGCTAAATCTCTACTGCTGCTTTGAGATGAATTGCAGTGGATTACCATAATAATACTGTAATAGACTACCTGGGCATTGTTAATAATGAACTTGATGAAATATCAGTTCTGGAATAATTTAAAATGAGCTTTTTCCTGCAGTGAGTAGAAGGAGTTGTATCAGACAGCGAAGAGTTGTTCTGGCACAGATCAGTTATATTCTTTTCAGATAGTTCAGAGGTACTGTATGATCTGAATGCTCACTGTGTACCAACTCTGAGTCACCATTTTCCAGTAGCAATTGAGTTAGATTTTAAACTCTTGTGACTGTGAGTGGTGATATATTATTATGGTCCTTTTCATTAGTTCTGTATTTGGAAAGACGGTAATTTTGTGTGTTGAGCAGTGTGATGTCAACATAAAGCCCACTGAAGTCATTGAAGGTATTTTCTTCAGTTGAAATTAAGATTTGCTGTATTTTCAGTACATTTGTAGCTTATTCATAAACACTGTGTCTCTTCCGTGTAAGAGAGGATGGTAGTTCTTCAGGAGTACTGCTTGTTTCCTCATCACTGGGGCAGCAAGGAATTGCTGTTGATGACAGGTTCTTCTCCCTGATAATGTGCTGTAAAAGACTCCTCCTGGGAGGCATTACTTCTTAAGTTGGTCCTTTCTCAGTGTCAGGATGTTACCCACATAAGATGCCTCTTCAGGAGCATGAGGAAGATGAAACTTTAGTGGGACTTGCAAAATGAACATGCAGAATATTCTAAGGAATCCTGTAGGCACTGGGCAGGAAAAAAGAGGACCTTGTTTCATCTGACTTAATTTAAATAATGTGCTTTTCCGGCTACATAAATCTTACTCAAATGTAGGTTCCAATAGTTTGAAAATGGATTCTTTTATAAACACTTAAAAGTGGCCTATGTTATGAAACTTCAGTTAAAAGTTGTTTTTTCTTTGCATGACTTATACCTGAGGCTTCTTTAATAAAGGCTATGAATCAGCAGTGGCTTAAGATCTTTCAGTCAAAAGCACCTTTACCATCCACCTCAGATTATTATTTTAAAGGATGCAAAATAGTCTCCTCACAAAGTTGTTTCAATGTATTTAAAAATTAAAACAGACTAATTTCATTGTTTTATGAGAGTCTTGAAAAGCCTGGATTAGAAAATTTTAGTCCCATTGGCCATCATAAGCATCTGTCCATATCTGTGATCTCTGTGGTGCATTTCTTGATGTAACACGTTGTCCCTACTGCACATTACATAGCTTGCAAAACACAAAAATGAACCATCCATAAAAGATAATTTTAGTAGCCTCATTTCCAATTTGTTAGTATGGCATGGGGAATCGCTTGTCTTGAGAAATCACATTAATCCCTTTTTGTATGTGGTTCCTATGAAACCAAAGTTAACTAAGGAAAATTTCACGTGGAAAAATATTCTTTGTACTTCCAAAATATGGCCATGCTTAAAATTCAGAGTCAGTTTTGTGTTGCATGAAAATTCAAATGGAACAGAAAATTGGAACTATACATTAAATCAATAATAATTGTCATTTTCTTCACCACTTATGCTACCATCTTTAATTGTAGTGAATTAATTTAGTATGAATATGGATGGCATGCATTTCTGTTACAACACTTTTGTTATTTAGTAGTAAATTATATACAACACTTTTGTAATTTAGTAGTAATTAATATACCACTATTGCACAGTGCAGCCACATTCTCAGATTTATTCTCCATTCAGATTTGTCCTTTTTCCCTGCTGGTCAAAGAGAAAATAGGTGCAACATTGAAGTTATGAATGCCAGAAAAATCCTTAGTGTTTTTAGTTACGTTCTGTTCCACCAAAATGTAAAGTAATCTCTATTTAAATTATTTTTCTGCTATTAAACTTTTGGCTGATTGTGGCTGATTCCTGCTGATTAAATCTTTGACCTCTAGATCATAGAAGCACACAGGTGGGAAGGGACCTCTGCAGGTCTCTGTTCCAAGCCTTTGCTCAAAGCAGGTCCAATTAGAGCAGGTTACTCAGGGGCTTGCCCCATCATGTTGTGAATATCTCCAAGGTTGTGTGTCCCATAGCATCTCTGAGCCCCCTGTTCCTTTCTTTGACCACCCTCGTGGTAATAAGTGAGTAAATAAAGAAAGTTCTTACATCTGGTCACAATTTCTTGTATTCCAGTTTCTGTCCATTGCCTTTCATCCTATTGCTGTGCATCCCTAAGGATAGCCTGGCTCCATCATCTCTGCACCCTCCCAGTGGGCACATTGCACTGGTCAGAGATTCCTTTCGCCTTCTCTTTGGAAGACTGAGGAAAGCTGGCTCTCTTAGCCTCTCCTCATTTATTGTGCCCTCCAGCTCCCTCACCATCTTGTTGGTCTTCGCTGGACTTGCTCCAGCATGGCAAAGTCATAGATATCTTGCTCTGATATTAAAGGAATATAGTATGCATGCAGCAAAATAATAGTATTCCGTTACCTCCAAACTCTATCAAAATCTTTCTGAATCTTTCTATTGTCTTTAATGGATTCTCAACTACAACTTAATGTTGTTTTGTTTCATGTTCTGCTTAAATAGCTTCAATAGTAACTAAACTTCAGAGTGAGTACAGATTAATTCAATTTCAAATTCCATTTTATAGAATAGCAGGTTCATCTTATGTCACTGGGCCAGCCCAGAAGGGGGTATTTTCTTTGGCAGTTTTCTTTTTGAGTTCTAAGTCAAAGCATATGGAAGAATATGATTTAGCTTTTGAAAGTGAATGGCAGATTCATTTTTTCATAAAACTGAACTGAAATAAAATGGACCCATAGCAGTTTTGCCCATCGGATATTTTGTTTTAAGAAAATGGCTTTCTTTTGAAGGGCGTGGGATAGAGCATGGTTTCAATTCCTGTAGAAAATGGTACATTTGTAAATGCATATTTTATTGTTAACACCATATGGCTATACGTACATTATAAAGGCCATTCATGCTAGCAGGCTCAAAAAGTGAACGTGTGATGTGTCTTCAAACTCGCAGACACTAAAAGCCAAATATTATTGAGTTCTTTTTCATATTTCAGTGTTGATCTTTCTGTTTTCTCTTGTAAGGAACCTGTCTCTGAAGCTGTCGAAGGAGGTAGACCAAGGAGAAGCCAGGTACCCTCGTGTTAGCCAGCTGGCTGGCAGCCCGTCTGTGGAGTGGCCTTTTACTGGTCTGGAAGAAGGTGGAGGCATTGAATCTTTGCCCTTCAGATTGATGCTGCAAGACTGCACAGCTGTAAAGACATTGCTTCTGAAAATGAAGAGGGTTCTTCAAGAGGTAATCACTGACTCATTTGTTAAATTTATAGCTTTCAGCATTAATGAGCTAAGCAGCAGAAAAGGGTCAGAAAAGTTTATGGACTTGATGTCTTTTAGTATGTCTTGAATATACAGAATTGATGCAGAAGTATAAATAGTAGTGCCTCAACATGGTGGAGGTCAGAAAGTTTGTACTATAGCAGAATTTAACTGATACTGCCATCCAGGTGTGCAGAGTATAAAGCTTCTCTTGAGCTTTTACCAAACAGGGGGCAGGGAAGATGAACTGCTTTAGATCAAAATAAATTGTATTGTTTTCCTCTAATATTTTAGAGCTTTTCCGTTTTCTTACTATGTTTGTTAATCAGTATGAAGTCGTATGCAATTTATTCAGAGGAGAGATGCAAAGGAAAAAAGTGTTCTCTTAAGTAACTACTAAAATTAAAGGTTGAGTTTGTAAATGATGGCTGAAATCAGATTTCTTAGGCCATTCTAACAATGTCAAGAGTCCTGGCTTGTCCTGTCCTGCTGTATTCTCCTGCTTCCCCCGTGGACTGCTGGTGTTGCTTTGAAAATTTTCTTTTGCATACAGTACCATTTAGGATTTTAGAAGAAATCAAATTATTATTGGGTTGGGGTTTTTTTTTGACATTTTCCAGCTGTGGAGCTTTGGCTCAGGTACATTTTTGACAAGCTTTCATCTTCGTGTTAGTGAACTGCAGCGTGCATCTTCTTTGAGATCTACAAGAAAGATAATTTTTTTCGTTTGGTTTTTATCTATATAGTTCATGGAATTACAGAATAACAAGTTCGGAGGGCTCTCTGGAGGTCCAACCCCTCTACTCAAAGCAAGGCCAACTTAGAACAGGTTGCTCAGGTCCTTGTCCACTCAAGTTTTTGGTACCTTAATGGGGTTTCCACATCATCTCTGGGCAACCATTCCAATATTTTACTACATCATTGTAATTTTTTTCCCTGAGATTTAATCAGAATTTCCCTTGTTGCAACTTCATCATATGATGAAGTACTAGTCACTTAACTGAGATATTTAGATACCAAAATAAGGCTTTGGCAAGTTTGGGTTTTTTACTGCTCACTTCTTGATCATCTGTATTTAACTTCAAACAATTGTTGCCCTGTCTGAGAAGGTTTGTCAAAGGTTTAGCCATGATAGTTATCCATTAGTCCTCCTGAATAGCATGTTTTTGCTGGATGGCAAGCCTCGTGCCTTCCAGTTTCCTTCAGTTCACTAGAAGCTTTATGTATGCTATTTGGCTTCTTAATGGACTTCTGTTTTGCCGAATCCAAAATTGAAATCATTAATTCTCCATCAGTTCCTGCTTATATAATGTCAGAATATAGAGTCAGTTTAAAGGTTCTTGTCCACTGAGAAGGATTTGTAACCCTATTATATATGGAAATAAATAATAAGACTTATAATATTACATGACATAGCAGTTGTAACATTCAGCTGGTAACATTGGCAGCATGCTCTGTTGCTTCTAGTGTGAATAATTCTATGTTTTGCTCAGAAAAGTTCTTTCTTACCATGATGGTAAGCGTAAGAATTTTATTTTTAACTTACCAAGTTCCATTAAACTTGTGTAAGAATCTACTGTGATTTTCTATATGGAGATATGTTGTACCTTATAGTACTTAATCTTTAAAAACATTCACCAGGTGATCTCCACAAAAGGAACACAAGGTATTTCATGCGACTCACTGGAATTTCATGTCCATTTACTAATACCTCCTTGTATAACTCACATTGATTCTATTTCTTCATCTTAATCATTCAGTCTTTTACTTACTTGTTCCTTTGTACCATATAATTTCCATTTCCCCATCTGACTGTAACACAGTGTGATTCTGTCCTTTTCTTTTTGTCTTGCCTTCCTGATGAAATCAAAATGGCCTTTTTCTAATTCTACAGTTGGATGTTATATGCAAGGCATATATAATATATGTATGCTGTAATTTACCTCCCTGTTTTTCAGCACCTTTGAGATGGAATATCCTAGTAGTAGTACACACTGTTCTAGTACACAGCTAAACAAAACTCTTACGTAGCTAGAATGAAATGACCAATCTGATGATTATCGAAAACTTTTGCTACTTTGAGTTGTTATTTGTATTTTGTTTTTTAATGAGTGACTTGTATAATATCAGTGATAGAAAAGATACGGAGAATGCTGTACAATGGTATGGGAGTGTACTTTTTAGTAGCCCCATCTGGGAAATAGCTGTTTGATATGTAGTGCAATATTCCAGTGTTACTGATATAAAGACACATACTAATTCCTGAAACAAAAAATTACTTTTCAAGGTCATTGTTAAACTACACAGTTTTCATATCTCCATAAAGAGTTAACAAACCCGTCCGCTATACAGTGGGCATCATCCCTGGTATAATTGCAGGAGAGTGACAGAGCAGTAACAACAAAATATTCACAAACAGTCTTTAAAACACATTAAAATATTAGGAATTAAACCAAACCCGGAATATGATTCAAAAGAACATAAGTAGCTAGTCTGAACAACCACAGAGATGACGACCTTGAAATATATTACAAATTGATATTGGAATGACACAACTTGATTATCTTCAGAAATACAGACATTTATAAATGTATGTCACTTTTAAATTATTAGTGAAAGATTCCAGGAAAATATAATTCCATCAAATTGAAAGAATGTGTTGAAGAATCTGATAAATAAGTCATCTGAGCGTATTTGGCAGGCAGTTTCCATGGTGAAGGTACCCTACTTCCATTGTAACTAGATGTAATTTCTTCATCCAAAAATCACTTCTGCCCCAACCAATATTATAAATCAAACTCGCAACAGTACAGAATTAAAAGACATAAAAGAAAAATTCTTTCCTTACCATGGAACGCTCATGTGCTTTTAGATGTAGTCAAACATAGTCTCTGGCAGGCTTATATGGTATAGAAGTGAAATATTTTATGCCTATAACAGTACAAAATAAGTATATTTATTTATAAAAATAATAATATGTCACATGTTTTTATCCACTTTAAAAAATGTACAGAGCATACAATCTACATGGGGAAAATTGCACATGAGTTATCAGAAAAAAAGCTGCAGTATTTCTGTTTTATAGCTGATGTTACCCATAGAAGAAGAAATTACAGTAGTGTACACCTCTTTATTGAAAAATAACATGTTAATTGAGTTAAAATATTAGCCCAGTTATTCAATATAATCCTTCTTCTTAAGCACCGAGCACTGCTTCTAAGGAACAATTTAATTATGATCTGCCAAAATGTAATACTAGCTAGTACAATATGCTTTTTTTTTTTTTTGCAGTTACTTGTAATTGAAGAATCTAAATGGAAAAACTGCATACAATATGCTGTACTGTGCTGCAGATTTATAAAGTTGTGAGTTTAGCTTGTTATTAGTCTTATCATGAAAAGGGAAATTGAAGACATGGCAGTAACTTGCAAGATTGAGAATGTTATTAGGTAATGTATTTAGTAAAAGACTAATGAATGATCATTCAATTAAGAGAATTAATTACCATTTCACTTTCAGTGAAAAAGTCTTGAAAATGTCTACTAATAATTCTTTATAGCTTTGGCCGTGCAAGTCTCAGAAGGCAGATTGTCCACTAATGTTTTGAGAACCTCATTGAACAAAGCTGAAGATAGTCTGGAGTACCCTGGCACATGAGGAATCTCGGTGATCCACTAGAAATCGGTCCAGAAAGTGTGTCTGAATCTGTTAAGCAGCTTTTTCTCATGTTCCATTTCTGACAGACAAATCTGCAATAAATGGAGTAACCAAGACTTGTGGGCTGCACAGTTTCATGAAAAAGCATTACCAGAGATGAGCAGCACAGGCAGCTTGATAAAAGCCACTTAAGCATGTAAGACCATACAAGATGTCGTGTAGTCTGTCTGTGAATTACAAGTAGTTCTTAGTCTCCCTTTTCTCCCCATCTCACTGATGTTTATTGAACTTTTTTTTCCCGCAAAGTCTACTTGGTGTCGACCTTTTTCTCAGTAGTAACTCCTCTCATTAACAAAAAACCAAACCAAACCAAAACAAGAAAATGGGGAGCTGGATGAAATTGGTAGGTTCGCCCTCTCCTAAGAAATGAATTCTTGACTTTCTGACTTCAGACAGGCCTTTCTGCTCTGAACTGGTCTTCAACACAGAATCTGTGTCGTCTTTTCTCCTCCATGTGCTGTGCTATACTTTCTGTGTTTTATTACATTTCTGGCCACTAATTGATTGCATATAATCAATGAGCTTCTAAAAATTAGATTGTAGCTTGTTCCTCACTTATTGCTATCAACAATAACGAATATATAATGCCTCTTTCCCAAACAATATATGGGCTTTCCTGTACTTTTCCAGATGAGACTGAAATTATTTCCATCTATTAACTTTTTTATGGTTTGAATTATACATAACTGAGGCAATGTCTAAGGGTGGCTAACTGAGAGGACATTTAAGGTCTTTGCCTTTGTTGAAATCATTGGTAGAACATTTCAGGCAGACATATGAGGAAAACTCTTACGGTTTTGTTTTGTGCCTGGCAAGAGAGGGTCTTTATGCTGAAATAAACATAGTGAAAAAATACAGCTATTTTGGGAAGGAATCCGTTTAGTCAGTGGTAATGGGTTTTTGTTCAAACTTTTTCTCTTGAGCTTGTTGATTAATTTTACTGAATGTTCCAGTAAAAAGAAAATCTTACCCACATTTAGGCTTATTTCTACAGGTCACATTTTCCCTGTATTCTTTATGAAATATATAGATTATCAACTACGTAATTCTACTTCTAGATATTTTTATGGGGCTATCAGAAGTGACCTTACTGGTTGCTAATCTAGAAAATTAAGGTATGTTGCCTGTATGTTTCTGTAATTTGGAATATAAATTATTCAGTGCATGCCCATGCTTCTTTCACAGCTCTGCAAAACACCATGCAGGCTGTGGAGCTTTAGAAATTGAAGCTAATTGCTACGATTAGCAATAGGGATAAGTCAC